TTTCCGGATCACTTACGTAAAGTATCATATCATCTGCAAACAATGAAATTTTGACCTCTTCCTTTCCAATTTGTATCCATTGATCTCCTTTTGTTGTCTTATTGCTCTAGCTAGAACTTCAAGTACAATATTAAAGAGAGATGGAGAAAGTGGACAGCCTTATCTTGTTCCTGATTTTAAAGGAATCACATTGATTTTTCTCTCCATTTAGTTTGATGTTGGCTGTTGGTTTACTGTATATTGTTTTTATTATGTTCAGGTATGTTCCTTTTATCCCTGATCTCTCTAGGACCTTTATCATGAAGGGGTGTTGGATTTTGTCAAAGGCTTTTTCAGCATCTAGTGAGATGATCATGTGGTTTTTCTTTTTCAGTTTGTTTATACAAAGGGCAACCCACAGAATGGGAAAAGATATTCACCAACCATCATCTGACAGAGGGATGATCTCTGAAATTTACAAAGAACTCAAGAAGCTAGTTTCCACAACACCAAATAATCTAATTAAAAAGTGGGGTACAGAACTAAATGGAGAATTCTCAATAGAGGAATCTAAAATGGCTGAAAGACACATAAAAAAGTGCTTAACATCCTTAGCCATCAGGGAAATGCAAATCAAAACAACTCTGAGATACCATCTTTCTCCTGTCAGAATGGCTAAAATCAAAAACACCAATTATAATTTATGCTGGAGAGGATGTGAAAAAAGAGGAAGAACACTCCTCCACTGCTGGTGGGAATGCAAACTTGTACAACTACTTTGGAAACCAATATGGCAAATTCCTCAGGAAAATGGGAATCAGTCTACCACAAGATCCAGCAATTCTACTCTTAGGCATATATCCAAAAGAAGTGCATTTGTACAATAAGGACATCTGTTCAACTATGTTTATAGCAGCATTGTTTGTAATAGCCATAACCTGGAAGCAACCTAGATGCCCCTCAGCTGAAGAGTGGATACAGAAAATGTGGTATATTTACACAGTGGAGTACTACACAGCAGAAAAAAATAATGGCATCTTGAAATCTGCAGGCAAATGGAAGGAACTAGAAGAAACCATCCTGAGCGATGTAACCCAGTCACAAAAAGACAAATATGGTATGCACTCACTCATTTATGGATTTTACAATAGAGCAAAGGATTACCAACCTACAATCCACACCACTAGAGAAGTTAGGCAACAAGGAGGACTCTAAAAGAGACATAGATGGTCTGCCAGAGAAGGGGAAAGAGACAAGATCTCCTGAGCAAATTGGGAGCATGGGGGGAGTGGAGGAGATAGGAGAATGAGAAGGGGAGAAGAGGAGGGGTGAAGAGGACATGAGGGAGTAGGAAGTTTGTGTGGGGGGAAAATAGAGGAGAGCAAAATAAGATACTATCAGAGAGGGAGCCAGTATAGGTTTAAAGAGAAATCAGGCATTAGGGAAATGTCCAGAGATCTACAAGGATGACACAAACTTACTATCTAGAAAACAGTGGAGAGCCCTCCCCTGATAATTAGATTGATAACTAATTTATATGCCATCCTAGAGACTTCATCCAGCAGCCGATGGAAGTAGAAGCAGACAACCACAGCTAAACACTGATCTGAACTGGAATCCAGTTGCAGAGAGGAAGGAGTGATGAGCAAAGTGATCAAGACCAGACTGGGAAAACCCACAAAAACAGCTGACCTGAACAAGGGGGAGCTCATGGACACCAGACTAATAGTTGAGAAACCAGCACAGGACCTACCCTGGCCCTCTGAACATGGGTGTCAGTTAGGAGGCCTGAGCAGTCTATGTGACCTCTCGTAGTGGATCAGTATTTATCCCTAGTGTATGAACTTTGGGAGCCCATTCCACATAGAGGGATATTCTCTCAGCCTAGGCCCTGCTGCAAATCATATGACAGACTTTGATGATACACCATGGAGGGCCTCACCCTCCCTGAGTAGCAGAAAGGGGATGAGATGGGAGGTCAGTGAGGGGCATGGGAGGATGGGAGGGAGAGGGAACTAGGATTGATATGTAAAACAAGATTGTTTCTAATTTAAATATAAAAAATAAAATAAAAAGCAAAAAAACTGTTTTTGATGTCACAACTTTCAGAATAAAAGTGTACAGACTAGGTGAATCAAATGAAAAGATTCATTAGCTCAATGTTCTGATGACCTCTTGTGGTTCAAACACAAAGTAGCCACTGAACT